TGGAAAATCTGCCTTAAAGTTTCTTTGTTTAGAATTAAAGATAATTCTATTTATATAAATATTACATAATTATATTTTCTTTGTAAATGAATTCTAGAAGATCAACATATTCTGAAATGTAAGAAGTAATTAAGTATCTTTTTTTCTTTTTGCTGATCTTAGAAAAAAACTAGATGTCACAGTTGTTCCAAGATTCCTTTTAGGATAAAACCACTTTGGATGGAGGTTATTTCACAGGTTAACAAGGCTAAGTTCACAGCAAATTTCCTCTTAAAAACATAAAAATAAAAATGTGGATATTATAAAATCTCATGTTTAAAGTATCAGTGTAACAACTCCTAAATAGCATATCCTATAGTGATTTAATTTACCATAGTGAAAATAGTAAATAATCTCATTACAGAATTACTGTGGAAATAAAAATTCCTAAATGGGTATGTTCAGAATCCTAGGGATATTAAATCAATCATATCAAAATTTCTATAGAGGAGCATCACTAAGTATGTTCATATCAATCTTTAGGTTGATCACAAAAGTGGAAGACAGCATGCCTGATATACTTGATTGTAAAACATCTGTTTCTAGATTTCCAAATTATACTAATCAAATATGTTCTTGACATGCAGATGTGCGCTAAGTGGGTTCAGGTGCAGTGTGACCAGGATGAAAAGGAAGGGCAAAGGAGACCAGTACAGGGATGGGCCCCAGAACACTTAGCACCTAACAAGTGGATTTCCATGCGCAATGGATTGCTGGTGATCCTGGTGACAGGTATAAATGGAATTAGATCCATACTCCAACCAAGAACTGATTTTCAGCATGGAATTTAAAAGATGCCCCTTGTGAAGACAGCGTCAGTTCCACGCAGCTTTTTGAGACTCCTGGACTTACAATGATACTTAATTACCTGGGCAATAGCACCAGTGGAAACACTGGAATTAGGCATACCAGTATGTTACTGCCTACTAAAAGTGGTTTTAAGAAAGTCATCACAGCATGCCTCATAGATTTCTACACCTGGATGTCCGTGAACAATGGAGGACCACAGCCTCTTCCAAAGGCCTAGACCTCTCTCCTCCTCCTAGATGGGAATGTTTGGTTGGGTTTCTACCAGTTCCCTTGGAGGGATCCCACTGAAACAGTTACTGTATTTCACAAGACTGGTTTTGAGGATCACAAAATAGATGATAAATTTGCAGAATAGCCAAATTGTGCCTGGAATGCAGCACTCAGCATATGAACTGGGTTCACTCCTTGTACCTCAGAAGAAACACTTTTAATGAGGGACTTCCCTCTGTATGAGACAGGTGCTGTGCTCGGCCCTGAGATGAAGTGCAATTAGGATCACAGTCCTGTCCTGAGGTGCACATAGAAGGGAGCACATGCCTTTGGCCAGTAGGCCACACTGCCTCAACTTCTATTCTCTTTTCTGGCCCCAAGCAACTCTGATCTCAGGAAGCTCACACACTTTTGTCTTTAGTACCCTAATTGATAGGGACACTTGAAACACCTGAGTTTTGGAGGTCCACTCTAAAACTGACTTGGATAACGATGTAAACCAGGATGAAGCCGGGCAACCCAGGTCCAGTGGCCTCCCAGATTCATCAGGGTCCTGGTGGCCAGGGCTGCTTGTGACGATAGGGTTAGTGTATGCTTGGGTCTAAATTCACTCCTTCATTCTCCCCTGGCATTTGCACAAAGTTTGCATTTTTGCTTGGAGCATGTGAGCTATAATCTCAGAAATCTGCCTCTACTGCTTGGAAGAATCCATTTCTCTTTAATCCATCATCCCAGACCATAGCAAGAGCTGTCTTATTTTTACTTTTGGGCTACCGTAGTGGTTAACAGCAGACATTGCAAACCTATTGGGGTAGGGAACTCAGCATTGCCCTCTCATCTATAAACATACCCAATCCAGCATTACCAGAAAAAAGTCCATACCTTGGACCTCAAAAGGGGTATCCTGGCCCACCCCCAGAGGTCTATAGAGTCACCAAACCTGGAGACCCAGGGTTCTCAACAGCTAAAGGCCTGCTTAACAGGTGGGGTTTATGAATGTCTGGATCCCCATTTAACTTCACACTCTTTTACATATGACGAAATTGAAGTTCATGGAGATCCAGAGAGCCACCAAGGTTGTCTAGGAAAATACAGTTGAACCCTTGACTTAACGAACTTGATCAGTTCTCCAGGGCTGGTTGTAACTCAAGTTGGTTGTAAGTCAATACAGCTGAGAGCTGGATGTTGCTTTACATACACGCTGTAGATAAGCAATCTTCCATTAATGTAATTAACCCAAGTTGTTTGCATGTCAGGCCAGTTGTAACCTGAGGGTCCACTGTAGCAAATAAGCTAGGGTCGGCATCCAGATCTATTTGGCTTCAATAACTTTACTTCTGCGTGGGTACTATTTCTAAATATATGCAGGTGAGGTACGCAACATTATTTTAGGCAAGTTTTGTTCTAAAAATGTATATTCAGTTTAACTTGAATAGAAAAAGATCACAATGAGATCTGTAATTTTAAAGCGATGACTGCTTAAGATGTAAAGTATACATTTAAGAAATAGTCAACTTTGTGAAAACATCAAGGCAGTAAGTGAACAGAGCCCTTGAACAAGGATGAATGTGGAGTGCAGTCCTCACTTTGGTTCCTAGCGCTCTGGCTGTGTGACCCAGCCTCAGTGCAGAGGCAGGGTAACTCCATACCTGTGATTTGGGTAGCTCTGCCTTCTGCTTCCTGTGAGCTGTGCTCTTAGTCCAGCAAGATTTTTCCCAAATCCAGAAAACTCATGATGAAGTAACTGTATAGCTCAGTCTTAAACAGACTGAAAACAAAATGAATCCCAGAACAATATCTATTACAATACTGTAATTATGCTTGAATTGAGTGGGGCTACTGATTTGTGCTCTGCCAACTCTATTATATTTATCTATATTTTTTTCTGGTACCACGGATCAAACTTAGGACCTTGTGATGCCAGTCAGGTGTGGCACCACGGAGCTAAATTCTTGGCCTATTATATTTAATGAGCACCTCAAGTTTTCCAATCAGCCACTGCATTACTTTGAATTATGAAATCATAAATATTGGCATTATTCAATTTTTTAAAAAGAGTAAGTTCTTGGTTGTCAAACATTCCCATTTGATCAGAGTTTTTGTCTTTCAAGTCTTCTAAAAATATGTACTTTATAAATGTAACAAATCTTTGGATGTTTTTCTTCTAAGATATTGAGAATACATACATCTATACTTTTCAAACTAAAGTACATATGAGGCATATGATCAACCAAGATAACTATCATACATCTTCCCAGAGAATCTTACTAAGCTTTCTGTATTACAATGAGTTATGAAATTAAAATACACTTTATATTACCATTGATGATAAAACATAGATCAAAGAGTTTCAAAGTCATGACTATGACAAATTTTTATCAGCAAAAATACAAAGCAGTAATCCAAATGTACATTGTTACCATTATGGAGTTTCAGCCCCCCTTGCTCCAGAAAGCCAGTAAGCCTCAGGCCTTATCTGTGTTGACTCCCATTCTGCAAGCCTATGAGGAAACTAACTAAAATGTGTTCACATGTGGAATTCTCCCAAAGAAAGAGGATTCCTAGAGATCTTCTGGAACAGTCGTCCTAGAACCAAAGCTGCAGTTCAAAAGGCAAAATTCTGAACTAATGATAGGTTCATAAGACAAAAAAATTATCAGCCAGGGGCTCTAAAATCCCTCAAATCAAATCACAATGTTGCTCCCAGGGGTTGGACTGCATTCCTATAACCTGTTTCCCGTGATTTCCTTCTGCTGATTTTCTAGATACTGTGTTAGTTTGATAAAATATACCAAGTGCCTTGCTTCCTGCTATCTTATCCACTTTGCAGGTATTTTACTACTCCAGTAAATTACACCAATATTCACATAGCTTTGCTTCTATGAACAAATCCAGCACCTATTTATTAGCAATGTGCTACAGCATAGAGCAAAGAAATCATCATTCCCATTTCCTACTATAATTAGCCCACAATGTCTTAAACACACCCACATATCTCACTCTACTTACCACTGGGTGGTCAATAAATGATTTCTAAATTGGATTAACCCTTTAGTTTTCATTTAAGTAATTATTGTATTTCAGCAAAACTAATTACTTGCATCTCATTTCCTGTGCAAGGTTTTCCTAATGCGGTAACAATACTTTGAGTAACACATAGGATCTGCTTAGTTTACTTCTGAAATGTAATTTCTGCAATGCAGTAACAGTAATTAACTCCAGGAGTGTTACTCTGTTGTAAACCCATATTATTTAAAATCCGTATTGTACCTCACAAACCCATAGGGGTTTAGGTAATTTGTCCAAGGTCACGCAGCCACCCATGGTTTTCTACAGTCCTTCTTTCTTCTAGATGTTAGTCCACTGATTATATGCTGATTCCACACATTATGTGTTTGCTATTCCCAGCATTGCAAAGTGCAATACATGAAAGCAATGACATACACTCTAAGTTCTGAAGTGACACATAAATGTCAAGTAGCTTAGTAAAGATAAAAACTACTGATATCTATAAAGAACCAAAATGACAGATAATAAAATTTAATCTCTCTTGTAATTGCAATGGTTTGGGAAAGCAATTTATTTTTCTGGAACAGTATTCCACACCTATGAAGGAAGCCTCCCTGTCAGAGGAATGAAAATGAAGTGCAAACCCTTTCCCTGGGGCATTTTTCTTTCCTTCTCTTCTCTGAGATGGCTAAGCTAAATTGCTAACTGCCCAAATACTACTGGTACAGAAATGCCAAGTTTAAGGCTTTAGGGTACTGTCCTTCAGTTACCTGCAGCCACAGTGAGATAATCCTCAGAAGTACAATCTTTGATGAGCTCTTCTGAGAGTTTCAGCAGTAAAAATGCAAATTTATCACTAACAGTTCAATTTGGAAAGTGAAATTCAGAGAAAGACGTAAAAATTCAATTTAAGTAAAATTTATTGAGTGCCTATAATGTGCATGGACTTTTATTAGACACACTGAAATTTAGGCACAAAACAGAGATCCCTGGCCTTAGGTACCTTATAATCTAGTTAGTATAATACAGATTAAAAACAGTAGACTAATTTACATGATTATGCTCAGTTACCGGAGTCCACATTAAAGAGTTGTGATTTAGGTGCTCCAAAATGGCATCTAGTCCTAAATTCATTTATAAAATGTATTTGGCCTTAGAATCCACAGCGCTTCAAACAAGATAAGCTCCAATGCAGATATAATTACAAGGATGAAAACACACTGAAATACTATGAATTCATTCATAGAGCACTATGATTTTTGTTATTTTGGACCTTCTGTTTTCTTCTTATTATGGTCCGAAGCCTCCGTAATACCAATTTATCAGACAGAAGCATGTCATCTTGTTGTTCTAGGTAACTCAGTAAATTTTCAGTCCATTCAAGTGCAGCTTTATGGCTAATATGCTTCTCAGGATTCAGTTCTGATCTTCTAGTCTTACTGGAAGGCTTCCACTCAGCAGCTGTGGCCTGATCCTCAGCACTTTCACTGTCCGTCAGCACCTGACAGCTTGAGTCGTTACTCTGAGAGTCAAACCACTGATCAATATTCTCAATGTCAACGTGTTCACAGTCTTCTGTATTCTGTAAAACTGTTGCTAAGTTAGCGGCTAAAATGGCTCCTTCATCAATGTTCATAACCGAATTTTCTCCATTGCCAGGGAAGAGTTTTCTCCATGCTTTGGTTATGGTACTTGCTTTTATCATGTTCCAAGACCTGGACACCTCATGAATTGCATCCAACACTGTCAAGTTCTTCCAAAACATTTTTGGGTCGATTCCTTCATCCATATACTTCTGGAGAAGTCCTGCTCGGTAGTATCTTTTTACTGTGGCTAAAACTCCCTGGCTCATTGGTTGAATTAGACTTGTGACATTTGCTGGCAAATACTTTACAATTATTTTGCCATCATCTGAACTCAACAGTTCTTCATTTGGATGTGCTGGGGGAAAATCTAAAAGGAGCACTGCTTTTTCTAGAAGACCCTTGGATCTCAAATGCTTCTGAACCTGTGGAACAAAATATTTATCAAACCACTGTCTGAAAACAGACTGTTCTATCCACGCACCTTTTTGACTGAAGTAAGTGACAGGAAGGTTGGAAAGGTCAGTTCCTTTGAATGCACGGGGTTTTTTTGCTTTCCCCACAACACAAAGATTAAGTTTGTGTAAGCCTGTGGCATTTGCACAACACATTATAATAATTCTCTCTCTGCTTGACCTGTACTCTGAAGTATTTCGCTCAGTGTCAAGAACTAAAGTCCTCGATGGTAGACATTTCCAGAACAACCCCGTTTGATCAGCACCATAAATTTGCTCTGGTTGTAGATTTTCTCTCTCAACAAATTCCTGAAAGGTACCACAAAATTCACTGGCAGCAGTTTCATCTCCTTTTAATTTTGTTCCTTTACCAGCAGCCTTTGGGATACCATGGCGCTGTTTGAATCGAGTTAGCCAGCCAGATGACGCGTTAAAATCACCTTCCATCCCCAAAGCATCAAAGAAGAACTTGGCTTGCTTTGCACAAATAGTTCCGGATACTGGAACCCCATCTGTCTTCTGTTGGTTAAACCACTCTATCATCACTCTATCAAGTTCCTCATAGGTTGACGACTTCATAGATTTACGTTTGGACACCCCACTCGTGGGATCTGAACTGTTTGCATAGTTTATAATCCTTTCTTTGTTCTTTTTAATATCACGAACTGTAGACTCACCAATCCCATACACCACAGAAAGTTTTTTGAAAGAGATGCCTTCCTCAAGTTTCTTAATAATGTCAAGTTTGTCTTTAATTGTCAATACCACACGCTTACGTTTCCCCAACATTTTAAGTGTCTAATATTTCAAGTGATTACTACAAGATAATTAACAACTTAGACTTGAATAGAGTCTAGAAAATAGAATCTTAACATCACTCATTTGTGCCCTAGGACTTAGTGTGATGGCCACTTTCCAGACCAGGTCTAAAAGAATCTCTTCACTTGGACTTTAAAACTTACATAGTTCCTATGAGGAATCGCTCCAATTAATTCCATCTTTCTTCCTCACATAGTGTTTTTATAAGGTGCAGTCTTATGAAAGGCTAGAAACTGAATCAATACTACACTACTAAGATCTTTAAAAGGGTCCTACTGCATACTCAAATCTGCCATCCGTGCAGGTAAGGCTCTTTGTTAAAGCCACTAAGACTCAGGTTGAATATTTTGGGCCATGTGTAGGAGAAGAGTTTAAGTCAAGAAAAAACTTGCAAACTTGACATACGGGAAAAGAGGAGAAAACTTAATTCCTCAAGTTGTTTTTGTCAGGCAGTGAACTGTAACAAATGCTGTCTCTTCTAAGCAAAGGACTAGTATAGGTTGCACAGGAAAGTGCTTAGGAAAAGAATAACAGCAAGTTAAGGTGAAGTGAAAGGTGCAAAGGAGGTGAAAGTGCACAGGCAGGAAACTGTTATTTGAACGCAACAAATTTATAACTAATGGATTTGACTACTGGAAAGGAGAAAGGCGGGCAAGTGGTGGTGTCACATGATTAAAGAAAGCACCAAAAAGTTCACTGGTGGAAATCAGACCCAAGGTAGAGCCTATGGGTGAAGGCGCGGTGAAGATGTAACAATAATGCTGCTGAAAGCTGATCCTCCAGGGTCCAACACAAGTAGTTTCTGTGGGGCTGTATAGGTACTTGGAGCCTCTGAAACCTAAAGAAAAATACCAAACACATTTTATTTTCAGCATTAGTGTCGGTGGCATTACCCACACCTACTCTGCAACTATGTTGAGCAAATTAATGCCTCCAACCAATTGTGACAGCTAAGCACGACAAATAATGCTCGGGGCGTTATGTGGGGACCGAAAGAGGACCTGATTGCCTACCTCCTCAAATTAAGAGGTCAGGGAGAAGCCGCGTGAGCGAGGGCCTCCCGCCGGGCGAGCTGCGGAGCGCGGGCTTCTTTTCCTGCCGCGA